TCCTCTTGTTCGCCTTAAGGGAAAGCGAACAAGAAAGCACTGGGTTCAGTCCATTTGAATTAATTTACGGACACCAAGTAACCCGGCCTCTACCTTTCAGCGCCTGATGAACCTGCTGACCAATGATTTAGGAGGAGTGGATGCATATCTAGATGATCTTGTTATATATAGCAATGAGTGGGAGCAACATTTAATTCGCCTGGAAACCTTATTTAAGAAGTTAGAAAAGTACAGCTTCACCATAAATTTAGCCAAGTGTCAGTTTGGACAAGCCAAGATTAAATACCTCGGTTTTTGTATAGGACAGGGCGAGGTACGTCCTGTTGATGTAAAAGTTAGGGCAATTGCCGAGTTTCCTATCCCTCAAGATAGAAAGTCTATACAGAGGTTCCTTGGAATGACTGGTTATTATCGACGTTTCTGTCCTAATTTTCTCAGGTTGCATCTCCTCTTACTGAGTTAACCAGTAGTAAGATGAAGTTTTGCTGGACGAAAGATTGTGAGATAGCTTTTAATCGGTTGAAGCCGGTTGCTTTCTTCGTCACCCGTACTGAAAAGTCCTGACTTTAATCAACCCTTCTATATACACATCGATGCCAGCGGTTATGCTGTGGGGGCGGTGTTACTTCAGAAATCCCCCTCTACTGATATTTTGCATCCTATATCTTATTTTTCTTCAAAGTTGAAACGTCACAAAAAGAATTACGCCACTGTAGAGAAAGAAGCTCTTGCCCTAGTAATATCTTTGGAACATTTTGACATTTATCTGGGAACCTCCCCCCATAAAATTATGGTATTTTCTGATCACAACCCTTTAATTTATATTAATTCTATGAAATCAAAGAACACCCGAATCCTCAGGTGGGCTCTGAGAATCCAACCTTATCTGATTAGTACTCAACACTTAAGTGGATCCCTTAACATAATTTCTGATACCCTTTCTCGCCCCCTGAAAAAAAAAAATGTATACCTTAAAATGTAAAGTTAAGAAATGAGTACTCTTAGAGCCTAATTTATATGTATATTATATAATTTTGTTAATAATTTTCTTTTATATTGACAGTATGACTATGAAAGCCGTTTCGTTGATGGGACGAAGTATTAAGTACACATGGATGACCCTGACAGTCATGTCCGAGACTCCTATTCTCGAATTGTGATGGAAGCCACTCCAGATAGTTCTTCTGGCCATTGTTCCAAAAGCTCATCCTCTGGCAAATAACCATGCTGTTCGAGTTCTTGCTTCTCCATTCTTCCATCGTACTACTTGCCTTATTTACCAAGAGGACGTTTACTATAAAGGAGATATTACCAAGGACGCTTGCAAACTCCCTACTGCGACCTATTGTCGTACGGGGGGGGGGGGGTTATATCTTCGAAATTGGTCATCCTGTGTTATTTATATATTGTAAGAGCATATGTTCATCACTTAATATTATAGCGCGAAAGTCCCCGTTTATAGCTAAAATAGAGACTTTCGGCGTTATATTATTATCTGTTAATATATGAAAAATACCATGGTATTATCGCTATTATCGTTATTATCGCTATTATTGTTATTATCACTATTATTGTTATCACTATTTTGTAATTATCACTATTATTTTACTATTATGGTTAGGTAGGATTTCTTGTGTATATAGAGTTTAAGTCTCGGAACCATCCGGTGAATTGTTCAATTGTTTATGTCCGGCTGGCTGACGTGGCTCGGCTGATCCAACCTGACGACACGTCAACAGACTGGCAAGTACATGTAGTCAGTCTGCTCCCAGCTCTAGCCCTGACAACTGATCGTATATTGGCTCTTACGGTGTACAGTTGAATGGTTTTGAGAATTGGACTATAGAGCTGACTCACTTTGTTCCTCATTACTTTGAAAGACTCTTTTGATATTTATATTCTTGGTCAGTTCAGTAATCCATAGATACTTTACGGGCAGATTCAAAGGTCTTGTTAAATCTTGTACCTTTCGTATTTTGAGTTTACAGTCTTGTTAAGAAAGAGACGTAAATATTAATGAGGACTTAGATACAGGAAGAATAATTAAACTTCCTTATTAATATGACATTTCCATGATTTGGAACTAAATGTATATGGTAATTTTATTGTACAAAGTATTAAGTTAAATTAACTACAAAGAGAAGATAAAGTACATATTGTATTTAAAAACTTTAATAAATTTGAATATTCTATGGAGTTTCCCAGTTGAAATTATTTCCCCTAGACTCTAACTTACCTAGAACTCAGATCCAAAAATCTTGTTGCATAAGAAATAAATGGTAACAGGCCACATTCTGAAGTTCTTTAAAAAATTTCTTATTCGCAACAGTGCATAAATCTTATTGAAGGGAGGACAGAGTAGGAGTTGCCATAAGGAAGGAGGGAGGAAGAAGGAAGAGATGATTTTGTGTGCAAGGGGCTTGGACACCTAGCATGCATGTGTGAGCAGATCAGAAAGGAGTGGACGCAATTGGTTTCCGAGACCTGGCAAGCTGTTGGAGTGTGAGCAGTGTAACATTTTGTGAAGGGATTCAGGGAAACCAGTTAGCAGGACTAGAGTCTTGGAGGTGGGAAGTACATTGACTGCACTCTAAACGAGGGAATGGGGATGCTTGTTGTTTGGAGGGTCATCTGAACTGTTGTATCCATGCACTTCTGGCTAGACAGCAACAAGTGTCAAATGATGCTAAAAGTGTTTCTTTTTTTGGATCCCCCTACCTTGGTGGGAGATGGCCAGTGTTAAAAAAAAAATTTCAACACATCAGCCATCTCCCGCAAAGATAGTGTAACCCAACAGAAGAAACACTTTTACCATCATTCACTCTTATCACAACCTTGCCAGAAGTGTGCCGATACTACAGTTCAGATACCCCTCCAAACTGCAAATAAAAAAATATCAACCAGAAGCTAAACTTGGAATCCCTCACTACAGAGGGACCAGTACTTATCCCTGCACCACAGAGCTGCTCTGAGTTTGGACATATCTCTTCCAAAATTTTTCTTATTTTTATTTAATTTAATTTATACAGGAGGGGGGTTACCATCCTCTTGCTCCTAGCATTTTAGTCACCTTTTATGACAAACATGGCTGAAAGTGGAAGAATTCTTCTTCTACTTACTCAAAGATATTAAAGAAAATAAATAAGAACAAGAAATACAGTGGAACCTCAAATATCGAACTTTCTTCGGTCCAGAAGGCTGTTCGAGTGCCATTACCGAACGAATTTATTCCCATCAGGAATAATGTAAATTAGATTAGACCATTTAAGACCCTCAAAAATACACTTATAAAAGCACTTACAAAAATACACTTACATAATTGGTTGAGTTGGGAGCAGTTCGATTTTCGAGGTTCCACTGTACTAAGAAAACAAGAAAACTCAGATGGGTGTGTATACATGTGTGTGTTCATACATGTGTAGTGTGACCTAAATGCAAGTAATAGTCACAAGATGCACCTGTAATATTGTGTGCTTATGAGACAAAGAAAAAGACCAGTAATCCTAACATTAGGTAAAAACAATTACAAGTTCTTGTTCCACACTCATTTGGCAGGACGACAGTACCTCCAAGTGGTTGCCTTCTACCAACCCATAAATATATACACACACATACATGTACTTTTTTTTTTAACAAGTCAGCCGTCTCCCACCGAGGCAGGGTGACCCAAAAAGAAAGAAAATTCCCAAAAAGAAAATACTTTCATCATCATTCAACACTTTCACCTCACTCACACATAATCATTGTTTTCGCAGAGGTGCTCAGAACACAACAGTTGAGAAACATACACATATAACGTATAAAGATATACAACATATCCCTCCAAACCTCTAATATCCCGAACCCCTCCTTTAACCCGTAAACGGTCCAAACGTATATAGTATACGTTTTTACCGCTAGTGCCCCAAACGTATATATACATTTTATGTGTCCTACATTTAACTTTGCCACGATAAGCCTGAGTCACCTAGACATGTGAGAATGGGTGTGAGCACTCACTGTGCACCATATTAAAATAATTGGGGATGCCTGGGTACCATATGCTCTTTTTTCCTATTAAAAAACAACAATGTTTTTTTTTTCTCAAAAAAGTTGGGGCAGTACGGTAGTGAACGTATATATACGTTTGGACCGTTTACGGGTTAAGAGTGCAGGCACTGTACTTTCCCATTTCCAGGACTCAAGTCCGGCTATATAAAAATAACCAGTTTCCCTAAATTATTCTTCTTCAACAAGTCGGCCGTCTCCCACCGAGGCAGGGTGACCCAAAAAAGAAAGAAAATCCCCAAAAAGAAAATACTTTCATCATCATTCAACACTTTCACCACACTCGCACATTATCACTGTTTTTGCAGAGGTGCTCAGAATACAACAGTTTAGAAGCATACACATATAAAGATACACAACATATCCCTCCAAACTGCCAATATCCCAAACCCCTCCTTTAAAGTGCAGGCATTGTACTTCCCATTTCCAGGATTCAAGTCCGACTATATGAAAATAACCGGTTTCCCTGAATCCCTTCACTAAATATTACCCTGCTCACACTCCAACAGATCGTCAGGTCCCAAGTACCATTCGCCACCATTCACTCCTATCTAACAAACTCACGCACGCTTGCTGGAAGTCCAAGCCCCTTGCCCACAAAACCTCCTTTACCCCCTCTCTCCAACCCTTTCGAGGACGACCCCTACCCCGCCTTCCTTCCCCTATAGATTTATATGCTTTCCATGTCATTCTACTTTGATCCATTCTCTCTAAATGACCAAACCACCTCAACAACCCCTCTTCTGCCCTCTGACTAATACTTTTATTAACTCCACACCTTTTCCTAATTTCCACACTCCGAATTTTCTGCATAATATTTACACTAAATATTCACTAAATATTACCCTGCTCACACTCCAGCAGATCGTCAGGTCCCAAATACCATTCATCTCCATTCACTCCTATCAAACATGCTCATGCATATACATACATACATAAAAGAAATGTCTTACTTTTGTGCAGTATCTGTAGACACGGGAAGTTTTTCTATTGTAGATCCACGCATTGTCAAACATTAGCCACACATCATCAACATAGTCCCAAGGGTCAGTGTACTGGCCAGTGTCTAACTTTCGTTTGATAGTAGACAAGTCCATAGGCTTCTTAATAATATCGAAGTAATCTGGGATTCCAAGAGCTTGAGGGTCAACTGGTTGACGAAAAGGAATAGATTCAGGATCTTGCCGATATAGTTTTTCTAAAGTGGGCACCAGATGTTGCCTTAGTTCATCGGGTTTGAACAAAGGCGCTCTATCTTTGTTGGAAGCAGCAGAGATAACTTGAGCTGGCTTAGGTGGTGGTGGTGGTGGTCTTCTCGGAGTAATTCCGCTGTTTGCAGGTTTATCACCCTTGCTATTGCTACCTTCATTTGAGCTAGAAGATTCACTTGGTGTACGTGCCGGACTTTTTGGTTCTTCCTTAATATAAGGCTCTTTTTTTACAATGATTTCTTCTGGAGCAGCACTAACCTCCATTGGTTCTGGCTTAATTTCAGTTTTAATTTGCTTGCCTTCTGATTCTTCAGGCTCAGTTTTAATATCCAAAGTTTCAGTTTTGATCTGAATCTTACATGGCTTAACATCTGACTTATCATCAGTCATTTCTGCTGGAGTCGACTGATTGCCCATAGCATTATCTTTAGTATGAATGGACGTAGGTACAACTGTATTCTCACTATTAGCATTTGTGGTGATCATGCTAGGCTGGGAAGTTGGAGGAAAGGAATTTTCACTACTTGAGACACTAGACATAGAGCTTGGTGTAGACTGAGAAGATAGGCCCATAGGAATACCTAAAGTGGCCGCAACTGAAGACACAGGTATGACTGGAGAGGTCCGGTTAGGCATCTGATTCATGACTGATGAATCATTAGGCGTGCTATATGGTGGAGGAGGAATACTGGGTCTAGGGCCAGATATCATATCCCCATGCGGAACAGAACCTGGGAATTGACCCGAATTAACAATGGTGCTGTTATTACTTGCAGTAGTGGTGGTAATTGGTCCACTAATAGGAGGACCTATTACCATCTGATTATTAGGTTGACAAATTGATGTAGGTTGAGATACTTGGTTGTTAGCCATGGGATGATTGGTGGGAATCAGATTCCCAGATGGATGTGTTGGTCGGGGACCTGTGGGACGGGCTACCATTCCTGTAACCATAAACATCGCACCTGTACCTATCACAAGGATTATAAATTATATTATTGCAAGTGAATTTCATTGCAGCATTTACATTTCAAATGTAGTACAGAATACACAAAAATTTTGCAAATTAAATATGCCCTACCAATGGTAGATGCTCCTGAAGTTGTAGGAGTGAGGATCTGACCAGGGGCAACAATTGGTCCTGAGGGAACCACTCCTGGAGCTGGACCAGGAGGACCAGGAGGGCCCGGGGGCCCAGGAGCTCCATCCCGTGGGGTCGTCTGTTTCCTCTGCAAACGCTTTTCCTCCAACTCTTTCTGAATTTTGTAAATCTTCTCAGCCAAGAGATGGTAGTATTCAGGCTAAGGGAAAGAAATACAAAATAAAAGTTTTATACAGATATGAAATAAATAATAAGACCCCTACATGTGTAAGCAACAATGAGATAGCTACACAACAGAAAGATGGGTAAACCATACCCCCGGCCGGGGGTATGGTTTGTTTGCAATCGTGTCATTACGATTTCTTGAGTCATGTTAAAGATGGGTAATTAGTAATCCAAGCAGTCATACCTACATAACCAATAGCTTCACAAATCAAACAGATACATGCAATCATTAGAAAAGCCACCAAGTGAGGTTTACACCATCAACATTTAACATCCTATCCTACATGTCATGTTTTTTTATCTAATCTTATTAAAAATGTTATACATACTTGGAAATAATTATTTCTAAAAAACTGCATCTGTCCATCTTTCCCACAGTAATACCTGACAAATAGATTATCTCTTTTTTAAGTTAAACCCTTTCAAAGCTCATGCCACCTTTCTGCACAAATCCCCCCCCCCTTCCCTAGTAATATTAACCCCTTGACTGTCGCAACCTCAAATCCTGAGGTGTCTCCTGGCGTCGCAAAAATCCCCCCCCCAAAAAAAAAAAAAGTTTTTTCTTATGAAATGATAGAGAATCTTTTCCCGATTGTAATGACACCAAAAGAACAAAATTTGATGGAAAACTGATGAAATTACGCTCTCGCAAAGTTACCGACATCGGCGATATTTACGAACTGGCGATTTTGCCCACTTTGAGCCCTATTTTCGGCTAATTCCACTGTGTTCCAGTCGACCAAACTCGTAGCTATTTCTTTAGAACTCCATTTTTTCTATCGATTGAGTACAAGAAACTGCCCATTTACCGATTTCAACTACCCAATAATGTGGTCAGAAATTTGAAATTTGGCCTATTTCATGAAAATTAGAAAATATGACAATTTCAAAATAGGGTCCAGAATGAACAATGCAGACATTCCTAGCTCTAAAATAACATTTTCTTTGTTCATCAGTCATGTTTCCAGGCCCCTCTGATATTACTCTTGCTTTCTATTTTGATTTTTCATTCAAACAAAAAATAGAAGATTTACTGTTATGCAGACTACTGCAATATTGTAATAATTATATAAATAATGTTAACCCATTCATGACTGCATATTAGAATGGCTACTTTGACATTTATTGCTAAATGACATCATTTGTTTACTTTTGAATATTGAGCTCCATTTCAAGGTTCTTTTCATAGTAAAACCAATCAAAATGACCTCTATTTCTGTAACATGTTTTCCAGCTATAAATACTATACGAAAATAGATCGCAAAGTCGGCACTTTAATTAAAAAAAAAACAGTTGGAGTTTTTTTTTCTCATTATGCACTGCGTGCTGCAGGATTTTTTTTTATATGGTGCACACTGACCACACAGACCCATTCTCTCACATGTGGGCCTACCAGCTTTCTTCTGCTTGATTTGAAGCTGCTAGAATTTATGAGTATATATATGTCAAACATGGTGGCTTGTAAGACACATATATGTGACCAAAACAGTCAAAGGGTTAACTATAACATAACAACAAGAAATAATGATTTATTTTGTTCTCAGCTATGAAAATTTTGCAGAGGCTTAATGAGTTGAAATGACTATTGTACTTTAGTAGATTATATGGGTAAAAAAAAAAAAAAAAGGCTGCGTGAGATGAGCAAGGGGCTAGTAACCCCTTCTCCTGTATACATTACTAATGTTAAAAAGAAACTTTTGTTTTTCTTTATGGACCACCCTGCCTTGGTGGGATACGGCCAGTTTGTTGAAAGAAGACTGTGTGGCATGAGCTCTAGCTTTTACCATGTACCTACCTACTTTATTATTCTATAATGAAGAATTTCTTGATGTTTTGGTGGATTGAGTGGGTGTACAGTATCCATTTACAACCTCTTATAGATAATTCCCTGGCAAAGAGTATTTCCCTTGTCTAAATTTTCTATGTCATGGAGTACTTTGTACATTATAATCTGATCCTTTGTTCTTCACTCCTTAAGAGACAAGAGACAGTTTTTGCTTTCCTTCCTTGAATATTTGTGCTATTATCTTGCCTAAAAGTCAGAATGAATAAGTTGTACTCTGTCAAATCTCATTTTGCATTCACATAACTGTGTCTGAATGGGTCATCATAGCTTCTGGCTCCACCTCTTGGGCTATTATCAACCAATTTAAATCGATTCTTAGCCTTCAGGGCCCAATCATAATTACTGTTGAAAAAGTGTTCTCTCTCTCAACCTATGCTGGCTAGCTTTTATTAATAATATACGTAGACCGTCATTTTAGCACAAGTTTATTTGGCCACGATTCGGATATACCCGGGTTAAAGAATTGTGGGACAATTCTATGTAACACGTTGTAAAATTAATTTAACACGGTTCAGTTTGCGGGGGGAAAAAAGATCCCTTTTCCTCAAGCGGCAGCCTCGTTGGGGTTCAGTGCGGCAGACCTCCCGCCATCCCCTGCCACCCCCCGACATCACCCCAGCATGCATATTTCATACATGTCCAGTCCAGTCTTTCTCTGCTACAAGCTAGCTGTGTTTGTGAATTGTTTTTTTGATCTTTTAATTACAAATCTTGTATCTGCCAAGTAATCATGACACCCAGTAAAGGGCATACCACTATTTCTGAAAGTGGCAAGAAAAGGTATAGGCATTTAAATCTTAGAATTAATGAAGGGAACAAATATATTAGACAAGAGATAACGGTAATGAAGTGTTACTTTGTACACATAAAAAGAGGTATCTATGAGTTTGTGTGACTGACTGACTTACTGACTTGACTGAATGACTTACTGACTGGACTGAATGACTTACTGATTGGACTGAATGACTTACTGACTGGATGAATGACTTACTGACAGGACTGAATGACTTTTTCTGACCTGACTGAATGACTTGACTGAATGACTGACTGACCTGACTGAATGACTTGCTGACTTGACTGACTGACTGAACGACTTAAAAGTTAGACACTCCAGTACAACCATCAGTACCTTCTGTACTAGAACCTCTACCATCCACCTGCCCATAGACCCCCAGGGAAACCCCCACCTCTTCACAATCACCCAAACCCAGCACCCACAACTTAGGTAAGAAATACTATTTTTTCTATTTAAATTTTTTTCTTAAACCCGTAAACAAAACTAATACTTTTCAATAATAACTACCCTTCCCTTTTCACATTTTTTTGTAAGATGTGGAGGGCCCAAAAAAAAAGTTGTTT